CAAATGATAAAGAAGATCTTATAATAGGTTGTACAATATTAAAAATATCTAGCCCTGTGATTTGGTTTGATTAAAAGAATGTGGTGGAATTGTCAATGGAGTACTTCTGAGATTCAAGAGACCTCTCTCTCTCCCCTCCCTTCTTGGAGGCTCTGCCACTGCCACTGAGAATAATAGCAACTTGGAGCTTGAGACCCTGTAGAAAAGAACTAAGTTAGCCCAGCTGTCTCTGCTGTGGTCCCAAGTATGTGAGAAATTCAGCCAAAAGCAACAAAGCTGCTTAGCTCATTTGTAGCTAATTGCAGATGCACAGGTGACACAGCAAGACTAGCTCAAATCAGTAGAAATACTCAGCCAACCCCTAGACTTGTGAGAAATACGTAGTTGTTTTGGGTAATGTAGTGATAGCTAAATGATACAGGCAGTAAGTCAAGAAAAATGTATAAAGATTGAAAAGAAAAAAAAATCTATAGTTATTTGCAGATAGTAAAATTGTATAGACAGAAAATCCAAAGGTATCCACAGATAGATTATTGGAATTAATGAGTAAATTTAGCAAAGTTGTGGATCTCAAATGCTAAAAATCAACCGCATTTCCATATAACAGAAACAAATAGAAAATAACTAAAAAACCTTTCAAATAACATCAAATCATATGTGGCACATAGAAATAAAACTAATAAAAGCTGTGCCAAAATTCTCATGTAGAATTATAAATCATTGGCTGGATATAGTGGCTCATGCCTGTAATCCCAGCACTTTGGGAGGCAGAGGTGGGTGGATTGCTTGAGTTTAGCAGTTTAAGACCAGCCTGGGCAATGTGGCAAAACCCTGCCTCTACTGAAAACACAAAAAATTAGCCAGGCCTGGTGGCGCATGCCTGTAATCCCAGTTACTCAGGAGGCTGAGGTAGGAGAATAGCTTGAACCCAGGAGGCAGAGGTTGCAGTGAGCTGAGATCATGCCAACGCACTCCAGCCTAGGTGACAGAGCGAGACTCTGTCTCCAAAAAAAAAAAAAAAAGTATAAATCATTAGAGACCAAAAGGAATAAATAACTAAATAAATGGAATAATATGCCACATTTATGGATTGAAAAAGTCAATATTGTAAACATGATGATTCCTTTCAAATTCCCTTATAAATTCAAGATAATTTGAAAGAAATCCCAATAGTTTTAACATTATTAGTATTATTTAGAGACACAGTCTCATTCTTTCACTCAGGCTGGAGTGTAGTGTACAACCTAGAGCTCACTGCAGACTTGACTTCCTGGGTTCAAATGATCCTCCCACCTCAGCCTCCCAAGTAGCTACGACTACAGGTGCACACTACCATGCCTGGCTAATTGAAACAATTTTTTCTGGCTGGGCGCCGTGGCTCACACCTGTAATCCCAGCACTTTGGGAGGCCGATGTGGGAGGATCACGAGGTCAGGAGTTCGAGACCAGCCTGGCCAACATGGTGAAACCCCATCTCTACTAAAAATGCAAAAATTAGTCAGCTGTGCTGGTGGGCATCTGTAATCCCAGCTACTCGGGAGGCTAAGGCAGGAGAATTGCTCGAACCTGGGAGGCGGAGGTTGCAGTGGGCTGAGACTGTGCTACTGTACTCCAGCCTGGGTAACAGAGCAAGACTCTGTCTCAAAAAAAAAAAAAAAAAAGACACTATTTTTTTTTCTTTTTTTGTAGAGATGGGGTCTCACTGTGTTGCCCATGTGGTCTACAGCTCCTGGCCTGAAGGGATCCATACTATGTCTGGCTAATTAAAAAAATTTATTTTTGTAGAGATGGGGGTCTCACTATGTTGCCCAGGGTAGTCTCCAACTCCTGGCCTGAAGAGATCCTCCTGCCTTGGCCTCCCTAAGTGCTGAGATTACAGGCATGAGCCACCATGCCTGGCCCTCCAACAGCTTTTGTTTTTCCGAGGTTGACTGATACCATCATGTACACAGGGCCGAGACTAATGGGAAGCTTCTCTTGGAGAAGAAAAACAATGTTGGAGGCCATCTGTTGCCATATACTGAAGCCTATTATAAAGGTATAGTATTGAAGACAAGGAAAAACAAATAATGAACAGAATAGAGAATCTGGAAACAGACCCATGAACACTTGACTTACATAAATGGTAGTGTTTTAGAGCAGTACAAAAATAATGGCCTTTTTATTAAATGGGGCTGAGACAATTGAATAACCCTACAGAAAACGTGAAAATCAATCTTCACTGCACATTATTTACAAAAGCAGTTCTGGGTGGGTTGAGGAGCTAAATGTGAAAGGCAAAACAATAATGCTTCCAGGAGATTCTAAAAGCAAATATTTCTGTGGCCTTGGGGTAGGAAAAGTTTTTTGTTGTTTTTTGTTTGTTTGTTTGTTCTCTGTCACCCAGGCTGGAGCGCAGTGGTACAATCACAGTTCATTGCAGCCTTGACCTCCTGGGGCTCAAGCAGTCCTCCCACCTCAGTCTCCCGATTAGCTGGGGCTACAGGTACATGCCACCACACCGAGCTAATTTTTGTAATTTTGGTGGAGACTGGGTTTTGTCACGTTACCCAGTCTGGTCTCGAGCTCCTGAGCTTAAGCAATCTGCCCACCTTGGCCTCTTGAAGTGCTGGGACTATAGGCATGAGCCACCAGATTTCTTAACAGACCATAAAAACACACTAATCAAAAAGGAAAAGCTGGGTGACAAAATAATCTGTACAACAAGCCCCCATGACATGAGTTTACCTATGTTACAAACCTGCTCGTGTATCCCAGAACGTGAAATAAAAGTTAAAAAAAAGGAAAAGATTGATAAATTATACCACATTAAAACTACATACTTTTTTCTCATCAAAGGCACTTTAAAAGAATGAAAGGGTAAGCTGCCTAGTGGAGAAAATATTTGCAACACATATAACTGACATATAATATGTTTCTTCACATTAAAAGAAAAAAATGGTTAAACTAATTCAAAATGGTCATGTTATAAAAGTTATCTAAGTTGGGCACAAAATACATAAAATGTGCCCAGTATCATTAATGAGGGATATATAAGCTATAATCACAGTGAGACTCTGGGATTCAGCACCCCATCAGAGTCCCCAGATGACAGGCGAAGAGTTGGCAAAAGTTGGTGAGAATGCAGAACGATGGGAGCTCTTTTATACCACTAATAGGATTGTAAATTGGTATGACTACTTTGGAAAACAGTTTGGCATTCTGTACTGAAGTAAAGATATGTATACCTTATGACTCTGCAACTCTTGTCTTAGGTATACAGCCAACAGAAAAGTATGCAAAAATAGACAGCAAGAGATAGATACAATAATGTTCATAGCAGCAATTTCTAAAATAGCCCCAAATTGGAAACAATTCATATTTGTCCATTAAAAGAATGACTGGCCGGGCGCAGTGGCTCACACCTGTAATTCCAGCACTTTGGGAGGCTGAGGCTGGCGGATCACCTGAGGTCAGGAGTTCGAGACCAGCCTGGCCAACATGGTGAAACTCGATCTCTACTAAAAATAGAAAAACTAGCTGGGTGTGGTGGTATATGGCTGTAATCCCAGCTACTCAGGAGGCCGAGGCACAAGAATTGCTTGAACCCCAGGAGGCAGAGGTTGCAGTGAGCTGTGATTGTGCCACTGCCCTGCAGTTGGAGTGACAGAGCAAGACTCTGTCTCAAAAAAAAAAAAAAAAAAAAAAAAAAGTTTTAAAAAAAGTGGATGAAGGCATAATATCTACAAATGATCAAAATGGAAGAAGCAGCAACTCAGAATA